AAAAAAAACAAAGCTTAATTTTGCTTACATTATCAAGGAACATCCCACTGAGACCTGGACTTCTTGACAATGATCTTACCAAGAGTTTTGCATATTGGCTCTCCAGTTTGTGCAATTTTTCTGCATAGCTGAGTTTGAGGGGAGCAGTCATTTGGATCTGCATAGAACAAACTGGATTAGAGATTTTTTTTAAAAAAGAAGAGCTCTAGACAGACAACAGTTAACAGAAGGATTACACATTTCTTTTTATTCATTTAATTAATATAACAAGAAAGTGATCCTTCTTTAAGCCAAGTGCAATTATACAAGAAGTTAAAATGCATGTTTTAAAATAGGTAGAGTCACAAGGTGTTTTTATGCTGTACCTCACTGATTTTTGCTTCTTTAAGACTTGACTCAAATTCTTCAATAGCTTTGTGAACATTCTTGTGATTTTCAACATGGCTTTCAACCCCTGGCAAATCTGAGCCCCATTCGGCTCGGTCAAGTTGTACCTGGTAAAGGGAAGTTTAAAAAATTAAACTTGATCCATTGTACAAATAAGAAAAAAACCATCAAGTGCAAATGAAGACCATACATATCAAGATGTTACCTGCATTTCATCTACCCATCTTAAGAGGTCCTGTACAAATTTCATATTGACTTCTTCTTCTGTTAAATTCTGATCAATAAAAGCTGATTTCATCAGAGGTTTGCGAATCTGTGTCATCTTGAGTGTTTGAAGTCCACCTGTGTCAACTCCAGTTATGTAACTTTGAATTAACCGTGGTGGGAAGCCCGGAGTGTATGCTGGGGTGATGGCTGGGGTCAGTCTTGGAGAAAAACCTGATGATAAACCTGACGTCAGACTGGATGAGGTCAAGGAGGGAGACAAGCCCTGATTTAGTCCAGCGTTTAAATTAGGGCTTAGGCTTGGTGCAAATCCTGAGTTTAAGCTTTGTGTTATTCCTGATATCATCATCTTGGTCTGTTCCGTTGTTAGTATTCTCCCCTTGTTGTAGATTGAGGAACACTCTGCTTTTAAGGCCATAAGGTTATCTCGGAGTTTTGCAACCCTACATTAAAACAAAGAAAAGCATTCACCATAGAAATTGACTGGCTACTACCTCAGAATTTTCATGAAGAACAATAATAGAAATCAGAATTAAATAATTAAATAAACTATCATAATAAAGGAGTCAGATCAATTTGTTCCAATAAATCCTTTTATAATCTGCACAAAGTTGATGCTTTCATGCTATAATGGTACTAAGGTCATAAAATGTCTAGCTGTATGTTTTTGGATGTAAAACATAATCATATAACAAGACTAATAAGCCCCTATAATCAGTTTTGTTTCAAAAGCGATTCCTGAATATGCTCTTTTCATATGAAAAGGACAGCTTGTTTAAGATACATTTGTGCATCTTCGAGAAGGAAGAGCAAAAGTGACTGTAAGAACAGGAATCAAACCATTTAGCTACTAATGGGAAAAATGCATACAGCATCAAAAAGGCTTTTCTACATACTGGTAGCAATATTAGTTCACATTTGATAGTAAAAGTTAACTTGTTTTATGTGAACCACATATGGTCCCTGGAAACCACATAGAGCAGACTGTGCTCTCACTAACATGAGGTCTCAGTTTGGTAGGCTGTAGGGAATGGCTTTTACTGAGGGGAAAAAAAAGAAGAAGAAATGGGAGGTTTTCTTTTCATCCAGCAAAAGGACTGAGAACAGCAGTGTTCCTGCTGGTACTGGAGTTACCTAGGACCTGGTGAAGATTTTACAGTTGAAAAGTTGTCCAATCCTGATTTACAGAAGCACTCATTTATATATGTTTATATTACTCTCAGCATCTCATAAAAATAGCGGAAGATATTGCTAGACACTTGCTGAATATGTGATATCCATACTTCTTGCCATACGATAGAATCGTCTTATCCTGGGCTACAGGGCAGCTGAAAGGATTTCAGAGATCAGATTTTAAAGCAGAATTATCTATGCCCTACTTTTGAAATCACCTTCTAGCTCAAGCATAGATTAATGGGCATCCTAATTAAAGTCAAGATTAGCAGCGCTTAAATAAATTGTTTAAACAACTTGAACACAGGACTAAGTAAGCCAAACCAATTTCTATTAAAATTGCAGAAATTCCCAGGGGCAGAATAGTCACTGGCATGAGACGTTAGGAACTCCTATTCCTAAATAGTAACCTTAACGTATGTACCTGTGGACTAATTGATCCGCCTGATAATATTTTCCATCAGTAAGAATCTGGGCGTCCATAACTTGTTGGCGGAGAAGATTCTCACATTCAAGTAGATAGCCTGCGATCTCAGCTTCGTTCTGGAACTGCAGGCCTGCTTCTAATCGTTTCCTATCCTAAGTTTAAACAAACAAACAAAAATAACCACACATGTATTTAACTGGAAAATAAGGTTCTTCTACACTAATAACTTTTTTTGGGACAGACAATAATGATGCCCATTTAGAAATTTTTTAGATGCTTGTGTCTGAAAGATATGCTGTAAGATAAAATCAATTATCATTAAATATATCTGTAACAGCTTAATTTTAAACCATCAACTATTTCTTACGTCAAGCCAAATTTTCAATATATATTGCTCTCTCCAAAATCAGTAGTGTACATAAATAGTAGGCTCCCCATTTAGATAAACAGAAATACATACCTGCACATATAGAACTATTTTGAAAAAATACCATCAATATGATTAACATTATTTTCCTATATTAAAATGCTTTGCAAAAGGTTGCTTAAGCAGCTGTGATTGCTTATTTTCTGAAATGAATACAAAGGAGGTTTTTTGACTGGATAAAACACAAGACAACTGGATTTTACATTTTTCAAGATGAAATTTACTGTAAAGGTAAAGGTTTCCCCTGTTCAATCATTTTCAACTCTAGGGGGAGGTGCTCATCTCCTTTTCTTAGTTAAGGGAGCTAACATTGTCCAGACATTTCCGTAATTATGTGACTCTAAGCCAAGGCACATGGAACATTGTTACTTTCCCACTGAAGTGGTACCTATTTATCTACTTGCATTTGCAAGCTTTCAAACTATTAGGTTGGTAGGAGCTGAGGCAAGTAATGGGAGCTCACCCCTTTGTATAGCACTTGAGTCTCAAACCTGGGCTGTCAGCTTTCCAGCTGACAAGCTCAGCATCTTTAACCACTGAGTCATTATGCCTCTTGAAATTTTAAATTTACCATAAGTACATGAATTTTATAATGCAAAAAAAAAAAA